TCATACATGCAATCACTGTTTGTCATCGACACACAGACCTTCATTCACAGAAGCGTTCCTGCCCATACTCAGACAATCATCAATACTCATACACAGCCGTGCACTCATGCAAGACCACCCAGCTGATAGGGCATGGTGCGCTGAGACGCAGAGGCAGTCTGCACACCTGCAAACCAGCTACAGGTGTGCTGTGCTCAAGGCACAAGTCACAAACCACCTGGGTCCACACATGCAGAGAAGCATTGCTCCACATATGATAGTGATGATGCCAGAGTCAAGACCACACTACAACTAGTTTGGTGGTTTCAAATTTCTCAGGATAGTGATGCCACAATCTCCCATCTCTGCAAGGCTGTGGTGTGGAGAATGATAGAATAATTTATGTGGAACCTAAAAGCACAAAGAGCTCTGACCTTGAGTGGCCTGTAGAAGTAGATTTAGAACCTGGAGCTATACTGGGATAAAGTAGCCTCCTTTGGGAGGTAGCGAGCATCTGGACAGTCAAGATGTGCACAGAGGGAGCAGAGAGCCACTCGGCAAGGATGGTGACAATGCCTTGAGGATCCATCCTGGTCCTGGTACTGATCCTGTCTGTCCTGTCCCTCACTCCTTGCCCCATCAGTGATTTCTTTCCTCCAGACCAGCTCTACAAAAAGAAACCAGGAGTCCTGAGCATCTGCTTCTTTCCTCTCATGTAACATCAGCTCCAGGAGAGCCTTGAAGATGCTGATGCCGATCTCTTTTTCTGAATGGACTTGGGAAGTTGAGGCTTTCGTAAACTAAGAAATCACTCAACTGCCATCTTAATCCTTGAGACTTGGCAGAGCCTTTGGAGACCATTTAGATGCCCTTGATGGAAAGGACTGCATCCGTACTGAGCATCTGGAAATACCGTTGGTAGCCAGCTGGTCAGCCATGGGGCTGGCTGTAGGAGTGGAAGGAGATGATGACTTCCTGCTCACAGCCATGCTTAGCAGCCTCTAGGATGGAGCCTGGTGGCTGCTGCCTCCTCCCCCTTCAGCCTTCTCTTCTTCAGCCTCCCATTTTCACTTTGAGGAGCATCTCGCTGCTCCTTTCCCAAGACAAATCACTCCCTCATATCTGACATCACACCCCTCCTCAGAGATGCTTTCATCACCCCCTACAACAATGTCTCCATTTGTCCAACACCCCCAATCTGAATGAACTCTACAGAGAAGGCAACCTCAGAGCCCTGAGGCTGGAATCAATCTTTTTCTCTTCTATGTTTTGAGGATGGCTCCCTCTGCTAAAGCATGAACCATCTGCCTTCAGAGAGGGACACTGGTCAAGCAGGGTGGCCAAACAGTTTGTGGAATAGGGGCAGGAAGGACTCTGAGTCACATGCCTAGGCCAAGTGGTCCAGAAGGAAAACCAGATCCTGGGACAGTAGACCTAAGGGCATAGTTGGGGAAATGAGCTCATATTCAATTGTGCTGCACATTTGGGGACTAAGGTTTGGCCAATAGGGGTTAAGTAGAGTGGGAACCAGTGGCTAGGTTGGGGAACTTGTCCTTGGTTCTAAGAGCCAGGATGCCAAGACAAAAGAATCAGGAGAAAGAAGGACTGGGGCAGGAGCAGGTCAGACAAGTCATGGCCTTCAGATGGTTTCTTTAGCTGCCCTAAAGGCTCAAGGCTTGAGTGAAGCTCGAGGGTCATAGCTAAGTGATCAGGCCCCAGATGGAATCAAAGCATGAGGTCATGGCCTGGGAAGAAATTTCAGTCTGAAAGTGCTTGCTTCAAACATGTGAGAACCTGAGTTGGGATCTCCTGACCTACATAATGCAGGGTGGGAGTGGAGGCTGCCTATAATGTTGGCTGGTGCTCAGGAGGTAGAGACAGGGGTCCCTGGAATATATTGGCTAGACTAGCCAAACTGGCAAACTCTGGGTTCAAATGAGAGACTCTGTCTCCATAAATAAGGTGGACAGTAATCGAGGAAGACAGCCGATGTCAACCTCTGGCCTCTACATATGTACAACACACACATGTGCCTACACACATATAAACATGCATATACACACATACACAGGCAAAAAGCATAAAGTGAGGTCAGAAACCAGATACTCACTGGGCAGTGGTGGCGCACACCTTTAATCCCAGCAGAGGCAGGTGGATCTCTGTGAGTCTGAGGTCATCCTGGTCTACAGAGTGAGTTCCAGGTCAGCCTCCAAAGCCACAGAGAAACCCTGCCTCAAAAAAATCAAAAACCAAAGCAAAGCAATAAACCAGATACTCAAAACCGAGATGGTTGAAGTCTTCCAAAGAGTGGAGACTGGCAACCTTCCCATTGCTTCTGTACCATCTCTTGACATACTAGTTGTAGACTGATGACCTTGACATATCTGGGCTCATCCCTCATTCTCTGTTCCCACAGCCTGGCTCCTGTTCTCACTCTATCCAATCTTCTGGTGACGTCATCTGAGAAGGGACTTAGGCAACTCTTCTATCCCTGTTTGCTCTATCTCTTTTGTCTGCTCTCTGTCATAGTAGATGTAGCATTTTTTTTATGTGTGTGTCCATACTTAGCAAGTCATGGACAAAGAAACCTGTGTTTAAATCTAGGCCTTTAGCTAGTACCTCTTGGGCCCAAAGGCCTGCTTAAACCCCACAGGCCCAGGGCTGGGATGCTGAGGGTTGGGGACATTTCTTTTGTGTTAGGTCCTTATATTAGTAACTACTTTAATTTTCACAGGAGTCCTGTGATCCATGAATAGTTATCCCTTCCTGTAAGAGAGAGGAAGGACAACTGTGCAAGGATGGACCCGTCTGACCCCACACCCCTGCATTTTCCATGCTAGTGATCCTTGGAGATCATCCACTTCCTTCTCACCCAGCCACTTATGGGAAAGAGGTGAGAAGAGCGCTTCCAGGCCACACAGAGTGACTCCTTAACTGAGCCCAAAGGTCTCCCAGGCCTTCAGGCTCAACTGGTCCCTAGCAGACCCAGAGGCAGGAGGAGCACACCCCTCAAGGCTGATCCCTTTACCACATGGCTCAGCTCCTGGCATCCAGGCTAAGACCTGCAGCCGCAGACAGAGCAAGCAATACCATCTCCCTTTCTGGGGAGGGGAAGGCAGCTGTGACGGTTGTGGCGGGCGGAGAGAAATTTCCTCTTTCTGTAGATTGGATCAGTCACTCTCAGAATTGATGGCAACGGCTTCATCACGAAGATCTAATGCTTTAATTATGTTGTGACATGACCTGACATGGGGGTGGCATTTGATGGATTCTCTGGTGTCATCAGCATGGCCCTGACATAGGAAAGTGGCAGGAGGCTGGGGGAGGAGGGAGAAGAAGGGCTCTTGGAGGGAAAAGGCTCCTCCCAGGGACCCCTCCTTATTCCCCAGCTCTCTGCCTTCCAAGGAAGTTCGTGCAGCCTAGAGGAGGGATCCAGGAGAAGAGGGGCAGCCACTACTGTGCTGGAGAGAGTAAATGTGCACTTCCAGGATGACTGTGAATGTGTGCACATATGTGTACAATAACCTAGGTACACAAGAGTGTGTCCAAGCAGGTGAGATTAGGACCTAGAGATGACAGCAAGGGAAGGTAGGTGAGGGCCGGTCAGGGCATCTAGCTGGTCAGCATGTTCTGGACTGTCTGAGCAGATGCTCTCACATAGTCTAGAGAGCAAAGCTGGAACCATCACAGAATGTCCAGGGAGGCAGGCTTCACTTAAGAAGATGAAGGCTGCCCTGCAATGGCATGGGAAACTCTGGGAGACCAGGACCAGTCTTCCTCAAGAGAAGATGCCACCATTGCTGCAGAGGACTTTCTCTCAGTGGTACTCTGAACAGTGACCTCAGAAGCTAGGACCCCAAGTATCTGTGGTGAATAAGGGAGAGCATTGTTCTCCTCTTCTCTCTCCCCCCACAACCTCACTGCCTGCTCAGAAGTCTGAGGTGCCCTGGATGTGGCAAGAAAGAGAAGAAATCTGTTCCTGTTAGCTCAAGCTCTTTGCTTGGATACTGACATGCACAGCACCTCCTCTATTTGCTCTCTTCCTTCCAGGTTAAGCTCTCCCTTGTAGGCCTGTAGGCTTCAGAGAGCTGGGCTCCTGGACTGGCTGAGTGAACAGTGCAGGCTTGATGGGAGAGGAAGCATAGGTACCTGTTGGCACCCCCTGACACACATCACCAGGACAGGAGCTGGGCTAGCCCCTTCTCAGCCTCTATCTCAGGCCACCTGTAAACAGGTTGCTATCTCCATTTTGCAGCTGAAGACAGTGAGGCTCAGTGACACAAACCTTCAAGCCCAAGGCTACAAGTCTGGGAAGGAGGGAATTAGATTTGATTTAGCAAAGGTTTGTGGAGCGGTTCCTGATGCCAGGGGGAGGCTGCAGACCCAGACAGGAACTCCAGACACACTGTGTACCCATAGTCATCCTAATTGCGTGTCATTGCTCTGGCCAGTGTGCCACTCTAATTTTGCCAATGGGTCTGGTTCTGCAGCTCACAGTAGAGGAAGAGCACCAGAACAGACATCCAGAAATGGGGTCTGGCCTGCTGCCTCCATCCTTAAGGAAAGTAATATGAGGTTTAGGTCTAAGAAATATGTATCTGGGGGCTGGAGAGATGGCTCAGGTGTTAAGAGCACTTCTCTTTACAGAACCTGGGTGCAGTTCCAGTACCCAAATCAGAAGGTTCACAACTGCCTATAATTCCAGCTCCAGGGCATCCAATGCATTCTGGTCTCTGTGTGCAGCTGCATGCATATTGTGCATATAAACTCATGAAGGCATACATACATTCACATTTTAAAAAGAAAGAAAGAAAGAAAGGAAAGGAAAGGAAAGGAAAGGAAGGAAGGAAGGAAGGAAGGAAGAACTATGGAGCTGGAGAGTCTCTGCCAAGGTGATTCTTATTCCATTCTGCTCACTGCACTGTATATAGAAGGGGGAATTGAAGCCCATAGAGAGTATATGGGCCCATGCTAGGATTACATCTCTAGACTCTGAACTCCTGGATCAAGGCCACGGCTAGATGGTGATGAAAGGCTTCGGAGCCTTGAGATTCCTCTTGAAAGGTGAGTTAGGGAGAGCCAGCCAGAAGAGGCTCTGAAAGCCTGGGGGGATTTTTCACAGCCTGGAGAAAGCTCCACGGTTTATTCCTAGCCCTAAACCCATGGAGCCCCAGCCTCAGCAAATGATATAGAAGACAGACTAGCCAGGCTTGCAGGAGCTTGTGGCCTGGGCTGTGTTTCTGTGGTAGCAGGGCAGGACAAGGTAGGAAACTGTGCCTGGGCTTCTCTAAACATGGTATTTGAGTAAGAATGGAAGAATTAGAAGCACCTGAGGTGCAGGTGCATCAGTGATGAGCACCTGGCCACACACAGAAGCAGGTGTTCATGTGTGTGGCTGGGTGCCCATGATCTTGGGGTGGTGGTCAGGCTTTCAGGAGTCTTATCAGAGCCTGCAGAACTGAAAGTGTGTGACAAGAGCTGGGCCAAGAAGCATCTGTCCCCCAAGCAGAGTCAGTGACTAGGTGCAACCAAGGACAAGTGTGACTGTGGTGTACTCCTCTGGACAGTCACCACCCAGGGCTCCATTGTGACCAGGTGTGACTAATGTAGTCATATATGGGCATACCTAGTCCAATTTGCATATCCCATGAGTATAGGTAGCTGTGTATGCTGGTCTGATGTGTGCTTTAGGGTGTTTTGGGGCTACTAGTGGACTTTAGCTGCAGCAATAGCCGTGGTCCTCAACATTACTCCTTTTTCCAGTGTGGTACATTTGTGTAGAACTGCATGGTCCCATTTAAATCTATCTCTGGGTAAATTTGGCCTTAGGACTCTAGAACAGGTTTCTCCATCACAAGGGGCACTGTGTATCTTCTGAAACCATTATTTTCAGCTGGTGTCCCATGGAGGTCAGGGTATGCTGAGATCTGATGCCAAGGCATCTTAGTCCAGACCCAGCTGCTTCTGCCTCCAGGTTCTTGAGAAGTTCCAGGTTTCTTTTCAGCTCCCACCCCTCCCAAGTGTACAGAAAGGTTAAGGTTAACATCCTACCTAGTAAGTCATGGGAGAGGTTCAGTGAGACTCAACTGCCAAAGGGCCTCCATCGACAAATGGAGAAAGTGGAGGGCAGATGTAACCCAAGCCCAGGATCTTGTCCCAGCCCAGGATAAAGCTAATTGCTTTGGATAGCCAAGCTGCTTTTTCAGTTTTCCCTGAAGGCCTTACAGGGCTGCCCATCTGACAATGGGTATCAATAGTGTGCAGGTTCTGGGTCCTGGCTCCTAACCCAGTGCAGTGAGTGAGTCTGAGTTGCTTCTGTCCTCATCCAGGTTCTTTTTTCTCCATGAGGCTGTGTGTGCCTGACCAATACCCAGGACTTAATGCTGCTGGGCATCAAGCGGAGCCCAGAAGGGAGAAGTGGTGAACTTGAGGTCAATAGTGAGATGGGTGCACTCCACTCCAGTAGCTGCCCCACCCTCACTCAGCCTGTAGGTGACAGTGCTTTGCTGTTACAACTTGAGGTCCTTTCTGGATGTGCTTTCCATTTTCCAAAGTGACCTGCCCACCATACTCCTGTGAGCCAGGTCCTAAGCCGGAGACAGTCCATTCCAAGTAGGAGCCCGCATCAAGGTGAGAAAATTATGGCTTTCTAGCATAACAGCTCCTGCTTCAGAGCCTTCTCTGACTGAACGAGAGGCACTGGGCTGGACACTTATGGAGGTGAACTGGGGGTGGCTAGGCCAGCCTCCAGAGTAGCTCCCCAAAGAGTGCAGAGACTTGCTCGGGATCTGCCAGCCTGATTTAGACAGCAATTTGCATACAATTTACCCAGAAAGCTGCACTGTGAAAAATATAATTACTTTTTTAATATTCTCACTCTGATGTGGATGCTTACCGCCCGTAATGAATTACTTGCTTAATGAAGATAAACCTGAATTGGAGATGCACTTCGGAGGGCTGCTAGGGCAGCCAGTTTGATGCCATCATTTGCAGCTGTTAATCTCTGAAATTGATGCCCTTGTTGGTGGATCATAAATTGAGGGGAAAATCTGAGCTCCAGCTTTTCCAGCTACTTTACTGTGCAGTGGTGGCTAAGCTACCGAGCCTCTCTGAGCTCCAGTTTCTTCATCTACGGTGAGGTTATCAGTATTGGGACAAGTTGCATCCCTAGAAACGTGGGGATGAAGCTGGATATGGTGGTGCACACCTCCAGCCCCAGATCTGGAGAGAGAGGTGGAGGCAGAAGGATTGTGAGTTTAATGGTAGCCTGAGGTGGGAAGGAGTCTCGCTGACAGTGCTCGCCTAATGTTAGCACGGTTCTGAGTTTCATACCCAGCACTGCAAAAGATGAGATGGTGGATAGGAAGAAGAGGAGGAGTGAGGAGGAGGAGGAGGAGGAGGAAGAAGAGGAGGAGGAAAAGAGGAAGGGGTAGGACAAGGAGGAGGAAGAATAAGAGAAGGAAGAGGAAGAGGAGGAGGAAGAAGACAGCAAGATTGATTTTTATTAAAGCATAAGTGATCTATACAATGTAAGAGACAGATTGGGGAGTGACTTACTCAAAGATGCACAAGGATTGAGAGGCTTCTAAACGACAATCAGTAACTATAGCTTCCCTCCCAGGGATTGCATGTACCTTCTCCTGTCTCCTAAAGGCCTTGGAATTGCCTTTGCTGCATGTGTGATGGCCTAGAGAGCCAGACTAGCATTCCACCATGACAGAAGAACCCTGAGAGCTGGGCTTTTTTTTTCCCCCTGATGCTTCCTACTTCTGGGGGACCAATCAGAGAACAGTATGAGTACCATCAGGTCAAGGTGTGGGTGAGAGGGTCCAGGACAGCAAGTCAATAACTTAGTAAATATATACTTACCATCCTCTAGGACTATGTGTCCTAGGCTCCAGAAGGACAGCAATGAATAAGACCAATGAGGCCCCTGCTTACACAGACCTGAAATTCGGGGAAGCTGTGGAGAATATCTAGATAAACAAGTTGGCAAAGAGCAAAGATAATCTGAGAGAGTGATAAGTGCTATAAAACTTAAAATGGATGAATGACAGACAAGAGGTTGTTTTTAACTTGTTGGTCAAAAAGACATCCCTAGGAGGTGGCTAAATCTGTGAGTTGAGATCTGTGTGATAGAAAGGAGGTAGTCCAGTAAACACAGGGAATAAAGTACCAGGGAGAACTGTACCAGACTAAGTGGGGTTTGTTCTAGGAATGCAAAGTTTAGCACTGAAAAAGCCAACTAATTGAATTACCACATTGACAGAATCAAGGGTAAAACCCTAAGTTCAGCTCAATAGATGGAGAAAGAGAACATCAAGAGAGTACTGAGCTGACAAATCCCATGCTCACTCAGGATCTGAACAAACAAAAATGTTCTCAGCAAACCAGGGATAGAAAGGAACTTCCTCGGCTTATACTTTATCCCATACTATCTGGTGGCTTTTCTCTTCTTCAGGACCGAGGCAAAGGTGCTTGCTTGCCTTATTTCTATTCAGAATTTCACTACAAGTCCTTGACAGTGTGATAAAGCAAGAAAAGAAAACAAAGATACTTTGGAAAGGACAAAGTGAAACTGTTTTCATTTGTAGCCCATGTAATTATTTATGTACAAAATCAAGAAAAATTCTCAAAACTTAGCAGAACTAAGGAGGGAATTTAATGTAGTTGCAGGATACAAAGTCAATATGAAACATAAAAGTCAACTGTAGGAAGCTGGAGAGATGGATCAGCTGTTAAGAGTGTTTGCTGCCTTTCCAGAGAACTGGAGTTCTTTTCTTAGCACACACATGACAGCTCACAACTGCCAGTAACTCCAGCTTCAGGGGATCTGATACTCTCTTCTGGCCTTTCCAGGTATCTGCATGCATGGGTGACTACACACTCAAATACATAAATAAATTAATAAATCTTATTTTTTAAAATCAGTGGTATTTTCTATATTACCAATAAGCAATTGGAAAAAGTAAAACTTGAAAACTTATTAAAATAACATAGAAACATTAAGTACTTTGAAACAGACTTAGCAAAACCACATAAGATCTCTGTAGAGAAAATTAGAAAACACTGTTGAACTAGACAAGACCTACAACAAATCCACCAGAAGACTACCTCTGCGAGCTGGGAGACACACTACTGCTAAGATGTCCACCGTGTCTATAATGAGCTGTAGACTCTGCAGTCAATACCCCAGCAGGCCTTTTTTTGTTGTTAAAATGACAAACTCATTCTAAAATTATACAAACATTCAACGCAATTAGGTGATTTTGAAATTGATAAAGCTGAGGGCCTCACACCACCGGATCAAAAGATGGCTTTTTAAAAGTTATTGTTTCATTTGAAAAAGGAGACCAATGGCAAAACCTACTTATTAACCTTATATCTTCTAATGCCACACGTTTACTAATTATGTGTTCTGAAAACCTGAAAACAACAGTGTGCTCCACAAAGATCAGGGAATGTGTCTCATTCTTAATATTTGCAAAGCTAAAACCAGGCACAGGCACACCTGTGGATCCTGTGGTTGAGAATGCTGAGGTAGGAGTGTTGATGGAAGTTTCTGTCCCGCCTGCCCAGTCCCAAAGCCATTTAATCCCAAATAAACACACAGAAGTTTATGTTAATTATAAACTGTTTGGCTGGTGGCTCAGTCTTCTTATTGGATAGTTCTCCCTTAATTTAACTCATTTCTATTAATCTGTGTATCTCCACATGGTCTTGGCTTACTGGTGATGCCTGGGTCTCTTGCTTCCTCAGCAGCTACATGGCATCTCCTTGACTCCACCTATTACTACCTTTCTCTGTTCCTGTTTGGGTTTCCTGCCTGGCTAAATCCTGCATGTCTATTGGTCAAAACAGCTTTATTCATTAATCAATAAGAGAAACATATATTCACAGCCTACAGAAGGACATCCCCCATCAAGGAGGATCACTTGAGACTGTGAATTTGAAATTAGCCTGGGTGACATAGTGAGGTGCCATCACAAAACCAAAACACAAAGGTCTGCAAAGTTGAGTGTGCAAATGAATACGTGATTTTATAGCAATCCACTGAGTTCCAC